GTCTCTCTCTGGTCTCTCTTTGATTTCTCTCTGGTTCCTCTGGTCCTTCTCTCATCTCTTTCTGGTCCCTCTCTGGTCTCTCTCTAACTTCTCTCTGGTCTCTCTCTCCTTCACTAGAATCATTTGGATCATTTTTGCATTAGAATTACTGAAAAAAGGAACTGTTAACATGAAAACTTCATGACATCACAAGGTGGGGGAGAGCATTTGGAGCTTTAGAGATGTAGACAGACTCATAATGCAGAGTTACTCAAACATGTGAATGAAACAAACACAACTCCAGGTCTGTTTTTGAGGAAGAACAAAATTATTATTATTATTATTATTTTGTGTAATATCGCATTTTTAATATGTATTTTTCATAAGTTTGCAGGAGAGAACAGCGTGATGTCTGGAAGATAAGGCCTGAATGAAGAAACTGTCCAGTCTCTCCTCTCCTTCGGTCCGACAACTACACTTCTGACTCTTATTTCAAATCCATTCTCTCTGTTCCTCTTCATCTCAGACTGTCCAAACTCTGGCAGCCATTTTCAAACTCGTGTGAAGCCGGGGTCATTTCTCGAGCGCCGCTGAGAGTCCAGAGACGAGGCATAAGACGGTGGATACTGACAGTTTACTTCACACACTCCAAAACCAAGTCTGAAGTTTGGAAAGATGGAGAGAACTGTTCACACAGCTGTAAAAATCTGCTATGAGGAAAGGTTTGACAAAATGAAACTAGCCCATAGACTGAAGAAAGAAGCTCCAGTCAAATGAAGCTCAACGAGGGTGGCAGTTATAGAGCGAATTTGGAGCAAGTTCCATATTAGAATAAGAATTTATTTATGGACAAAATAGCGAAATAAAAACACCAGGATTATGTAAAGGTCTCTATCTGGTGTCTCTCTCTGATTTCTCTCTGGTCCTTCTTTAGTCTCTCTCTGGGCTCTCTGTAGTCTCTTTCTGGTTTCTCTCTGGTCTCTCGCTGGTCCTTCCCTGGTCTCTCTCTCTGATCTTTCTTTGGTCTCTCTCTGGTTTCTCTCCGGTCCCTCTCTGGTCTCTCTCTCTCTCTCTCTCTCTCTCTGATCTTTCTTTGGTCTCTCTCTGGTTTCTCTCCGGTCCCTCTCTGGTCTCTCTCTCTCTCTCGCTCTCTCTCTGATCTTTCTTTGGTCTCTCTCTAGTCTCTCTCTAGTCTCTCTCTGGTCTCTCTCTAGTCTCTTTTTGGTCTTTCTCTCTCTCTGGTCTCTCTCTTTGCTCTCTCTCCGGTCTCTCTTTGCTCTCTCTCCGGTCTCTCTTTGGTCTCTCTCTGGCCTCTCTTTGGTCTCTCTCTGGTCTCTCTCTTTGCTCTCTCTCCTGTCTCTCTTTGCTCTCTCTCCGGTCTCTCTTTGGTCTCTCTCTGGCCTCTCTTTGGTCTCTCTCTGGTCTCTCTCTTTGCTCTCTCTCTTGTCTCTCTTTGCTCTCTCTCCGGTCTCTCTTTGCTCTCTCTCCGGTCTCTCTTTGGTCTCTCTCTGGCCTCTCTTTGGTCTCTCTCTGGTCTCTCTCTTTGCTCTCTCTCCTGTCTCTCTTTGCTCTCTCTCCGGTCTCTCTTTGGTCTCTCTCTGGCCTCTCTTTGGTCTCTCTCTGGTCTCTCTCTTGCTCTCTCTCTTGTCTCTCTTTGCTCTCTCTCCTGTCTCTCTTTGCTCTCTCTCCGGTCTCTCTTTGGTCTCTCTCTGGTCTCTTTTTGGTTTCTCTCTGTTCCCCCCTTGGTCTCTCTCTTGTCTCTCTCTAGTCTCTCTCTAGTCTCTTTTTGATCTTTCTCTCTCTCTGGTCTCTTTTTGGTCTCTCTCTCTCTCTGGTCTCTCTCTTTGGTCTCTCTCTGGTCTCTCTCTTGTCTCTCTCTAGTCTTTCTCTGGTCTCATTCTGGTCTTTCTTTGGTCTCTCTCTGGTCTTTCTTTAGTCTCTCTTTGTTCTCTCTCTGCTCTCTCTCTAGTCTCTCTCTTGTCTTTCTCTGCTTTCTCTCTGGTTGCTCTCTGCTCTCTCTCTCTGCTCTCTCTCTAGTTTCTCTTTGCTCTCTCTGCTCTCTCTCTGGTCTCTCTCTGCTCTCTCTCTGGTCTCTCTCTTGTCTCTCTCTGCTCTCTCTCTCTGCTCTCTTTCTGCTCTCTCTCTTGTTTCTCTCTGCTCTCTCTCTTGTCTATCTCTCTGCTCTCTCTCTGCTCTCTCTCGTCTCTCTCTGCTCTCTCCCTTGTATCTCTCTGCTCTCTCTCTTGTATCTCTCTGCTCTCTCTCTTGTCTCTCTCTGCTCTCTCTCTTGTCTCTCTCTGCTCTCTCTCTGCTCTCTCCCTTGTCTCTCTCTCTGTCTCTCTCTCTCGTCTCTCTCTGCTCTCTCCCTTGTTTCTCTCTGCTCTCTCGCTTGTCTCTCTCTGCTCTCTCCCTTGTCTCTCTCTGCTCTCTCGCTTGTCTCTCTCTGCTCTCTCTCGTCTCTCTTTGCTCTCTCCCTTGTATCTCTCTGCTCTCTCTCTGGTCTCTCTCTAGTCTCTCTCTGCTCTGTCGCTTGTATCTCTCTGCTCTCTCTCTGGTCTCTCTCTGGTCTCTCTCTAGTCTCTCTCTGCTCTGTCTCTTGTCTCTCTTTGCTCTCTCCTTGTATCTCTCTGCTCTCTCTCTGGTCTCTCTCTAGTCTCTCTCTCTGCTCTGTCTCTTGTCTCTCTCTGCTCTCTCTCTAGTCTCTCTCTGGTCTCTCTCTAGTCTCTCTCTGCTCTCTCTCTCTGCTCTCTTTCTGCTCTCTGTTTTGTCTCTCTCTTATCTCTCTCTCTTGTCTCTGTCTTTGCTCTCTCTGGTCTCTCTCTGGTCTCTCTCTTGTCTCTCTCTGCTCTCTTTCTGCTCTCTCTCTGTCCTTTTTGTTTCACGTTTGGAGCTTTGTTTGTCCTTGTGTGAAATGAAGAGGAGTGAGGAGCACTTTAGTCTCTCCCCAGAGCTGCTCGGAGGAGGGCACATCCAGGTCAAGGAGGATTCTACAACTAGAACACACACACACACATATAACGCACACACACACACACACACACACTCGGATCCCATCTACTCAAATACAGCAGCAGGAGGAGGAAGAGGAGAAGGAGGAGGAAGGCTGTGTCTCAAAACTCTGATCTTGAATGGGACATTGAACAGAGTGAGAGAAAAATTCCATTGCAAAACATCCTAAACATCGTCCTCAACAACAGTTCTCAACATCCCGACTTATCACCTGTCGTTCACTCGTCGACTTTGCACAAACACGCTCTGATTTTCACTTGTGTTCTTCCTCATGTGCCGCCGTGTTTGTTTTGATGTGTCCGGACTGTCACTCACATCCGTCTCAATCAGACGTGGGACCAAGTCGTTGTTTTGCAAGTCTCAAGTAAGTCTCAAGTCCCAAGTCCTAGACAGGAAAGTCCAAGTGGAGTCTCGAGTCACTGGCCCATAAGTCCAAGTCTAGTCCAATTCGAGCTTCAAGTCATTTCAAGTTTTTAAACCAAAGTTTCAAATATAGCTTAGATTTTTAATTCAATTTTAAACTAAGTTGTACGTATATTTATGTATGAGTATTTCATAAGAGGTGTATAAATGTTTTTTGTTTTTTCTTTGTAAATGTCTTGACAAGATCTTAGTGTGAATAATTATGGTCAGAACAGAAAGGATTCAGATTTAAAAGAGCTTATATAAAGTTATTTTGTCATGTCGTCTGCACTGAAATGGACGGATCTTGTTCTATGTAGTTCCTTGTTTTATTGCAGGAGAGTCAAACTCAAATTCACAGAGGCCAAAATTAAAAACTGGGACTAAGTCGTGGGCCAAACTAAATATTTATTGAAAAATTTCAACAGCATCTGCATGTTTTCTCTTCTTTCCAGATATGTAATGTAAAACCTTTTCTTATTAAAATAAATGTTTAATAATAGTTTTGCTTAAACATTGAATCCAGAACAAACAGAATATAAAATAATAAGACAATTTTAAATAAATAATGTTCCATCCAAAGTACCAAACAGAAGGGTGTTTGTTCCTGTAAAATTAGTCATAACATTTATCAACTGTAAAGAGAAAAATATTTTAGAAAAACATATATATTTTTAGGAGACGCATCAAGTCATCTCATGTCTCTTGCTTCAAATCTGGGTCAAGTCCCAAGTCAATGAGCTTCAAGTCCAGGTCAAGTCCCAAATCTTAGGCCATTTTATCAAGTCAAGTCTCAAGTCATAAAAATAGTGACTCAAGTTTGACTCAAGTCCAAGTCACGATTTCTAAGTCCCCAGCTCTGATCTGAACTCAGAGAGATAAAACAAGTGTCCAGGCGTCTTTGGAGTAGTTTCCTGGTAAGTTCAGACTGATCTGTGTATTTCTTTTACAAAGAGGTCCCCACTCCCTCTGTTGAGACTCAAGCCAGAACCAAACACGGCTGTCCAATCAGATGTGTTTGTTTCAGTGATGAAACAAAGGAGCTCAATGGTCACTCATCATTTTGAAAAAAACAAAATGTCTGAGTTCAGTGCATCGCTCTGCAGAAATCCACAGTTTTTCATTCCCCGGTAAACAGACACATTTGTTTTGATAAAGAAGGAACATGCATGTTTCTGACTGGCTGATCCACCTGTCAATCACACCCATCTGAATTCTGGGAGAAGCACTGGAGACGTTTTATGGATTCCAGGCATTTGTTACAATATCGGAGAAAGGTTTATTCTGGTCACGACAGTGAACATCAGCCTCAGTGTAAAAATCTGTTCTAATTTTATCAGTAAAATGAAAGATAAGAAGCTCAATTATGTTTTTATGATAAGGGCATAAAGTGTAGCGAGATAAGAACAGAAGTGACACAGGAAACTTTCAAAACTTTTAAAGAGACCAGGTCTGTGGAGTCTGGATGTAGTCCTGCTTTAGTCAATCAAACCTGTTGTTACACTAATAGGAGTTGACCTCTGGGACAGAAGGCACCTGGTTGGTCTATCGAAAGCACGCACTATGGTTGCCATGGTTACTGCACACAGGTGTGTGGTGTAGTAACTCACCGTGGTTGCCGTGGTTACTGTGCACAGGGGTGTAGTGGTTCTTGGAGGTTCTGACCGGAGTCTCGTCTTTGGGGGAGCCGTCCACAGCCGCCATGTCCTCGTGCTCGTACTGAGAGATGCCCTGCTGACGCATGATGTCCGCCAGCGCTCTGAAACACACACACACACACACACACACACACACCGTTTATAAGTCTGTTTAAACATTTTATTCATGTAAAAAATAAAATGATGGTATTTTCTATGGCAAACTTAAAACAATTCCACTTCAACAAAGTCTTTAACCCTTCCAGCCCGACAGTAAACAATACCTGGGAATATGTTTACACAACCATGTATAACTTTCCAACCATAAAAGATAGAAATGTACTTTTTTTCCCCTTGAAAAGCTAAGATTTGTTAGTCAGGTTGGTGCCACCTAGTGCCTCCACTCAATTTCATTTCTCTCCAGCAACTAGGTCAGGATTCAGAATACACTAGAAGGTTTGCATGAACCTTGTAAGTTGTAGACTGCACACTGGCCAATCAGCTGTGAGCTGTGAAGCCATGATGTCAAACTCGTTGCGTCTGTCTGGGTCCCTTTTGTGGAACAACACAACAGTAAACAAAGCATCGAGATGGATGTAGATGAAGACAGACATTCTGTGTTGGCAACGATTCCAGAGATCGAGGATTTAAAGCTGGAATAAATGTTTGGTGAATTTTATCAAGGGAAATGACGTTATTGTCCTTCTTCCTACAGGATTTGGTGCATTACATACGTTACGACCAAACAACAGCGATTGGTTAAATTAAAAAAGTACCTGCCTACTGACGAACGAACAAATCCTAATGCGAGGTGAGACGGTTTCCACCAAGTGAAACTGATGAATCAGACTTGTGGTTTTCCAACCATATTTCCGGTATTATCCTGTGTTACATGCTGCATGATGACGTAGGGAAAACGAGTGTCCAACAGGAACTTTGTTTTTGGTCAAACTCATGCGCTTCATCCATTTTGATGTTGCCAAACTTTGCCAAAGAGTGTAGTGAGTCAAAATGGTCGATGCTCTGAGCGTCTGTGCTCGTAACAATTGAAAAAGCCGCTCTAAGTGCAGATATTTCTCAAATAAATGGTCTGCGTCATTGTGCATCCCTTGCTATTTTTATTTGAAACGTTTATTTCAGTCCAAATGCACAAATCCAAATGTAATAAACACCATGGAAATGCAGGAAGTGATGCAGCTCTGTGCCCTGGACCTGACTGGCACCAGTCAAGTCATGGGGCCATTGCACCTTTTTTTGTTTGTTTTTGTTTTGAGGCAATAAGAATATTTTGAGTTTACTTACAGACTCCATATTTTGTATTTTTGTAGCTAAGGCCCTAAATGAAGCATCTTTTATGTCCAAAAAGTTGTTTATACTTTACTGTGTGTTTTCTATGAAAGACTGTGAAGGTTTTTTTTTTTTTTTTTTTTTTTTTTGTTTCTTTATTTTTTTTCATTTACATTTCTGATCCTATAGTTTTTATTCCAGCCATATGACACAATTACAGCAGCAGATTGTGAAATAACACATTGTACTGCAAAAAAAGAAAAGGATGTATAACACTTCGTTCAGGGGTAAAAGGGAGAGTTTTAATAGCAAAATATCCAGTTGAGGACAAATGTACTAAAATTGCCGTTAGGTCTGGAAGGGTTAAAGTGGATTGCTTGGTTTTAACATCTTTTTTACTTGATTTATTTCAGGTTTAGTTGAAATTAAGTTCTGGTCTTGTCCTGCCTAATGTTGTAGTCTTAGTTTAGTCCTGGTTTAGGCCTGGTTTAGTCCTGCTTTAGTCCTGGTTTAGTCCAGATTAAGTTCCCATCACTGCACCTCCCTGGTCCTTGGTCTGGCCCTGGTTCAGTCCTGGTCTAGTCCTGGTTTCCATTTGACAGATTTGAATTTTTCTTTCACTACCTGCTGTGGCGAGCTTCTTGGTGCCTGCCTGATTTGTGTCACGTGTCATTTTTATCCTTTGCTTTTTAGTCCCTGGTGTGGCCCGTGCTCAGACCTGGTTAAGCCCCCTCCTGTCGCTAGCTTAGAGCCTGCCTGATTCGCGACACACTAAAAGCATGTCATTTCTGTCCCTCGTGTTGTAGCCCTTGGTTCAGACCTGGTTTAGTCCTGTTCTCCTGCTCTGCGCTGCCTGCCTGATCTGCGTCACGTGAAAGCAGGTCTCTCTCGTGTTGTGTTTTAGTCCTGGTTTAGGCCCCTCCTTTGCGCTGCCTGATTTGCGTCACAGTGAAAGGATATCATTTCTGTCCCTTGTGTTTTAGTCCTGTTTTAGTTGTGGTTTAGGTTTTGGTCTGGCTCTGGTTCAGACCTGTTTCGGCCCCCTCCTGTAGCTAGCTTGGTGCTGCCTGCCTGATCTGCGTCACGTAAAAGCCTGCCTTTTCTTTCCCTTTTGTTTTTGTCTTGGTTTAGTCTGGTCTGACCCTAGGTAAGATCTGGTTCAGACCTGGTTTAGCCCTCCTCCTGTGGCTAACTCTGTGCTGCCTGCCTGATCTGCATCACATAAAATCATGTAATTTTGTTTGTGTTTTAATCCTTGTTTAGTCCCTGGTCTGTCCCTGCTTCAGACCTGTTTAGCCCCCTTCTGTAGCTAGCTTAGTGCTGCCTGCCTGATCCGGGTCACGTAAAAGCATGTCATTTACACCCCCTGTGTTTTAGTCCTTGTTTAGTCCTTGGTCTGGCCCTAGTTTAGACCTGGTCGAGACCTGGTTCAGACCAGGTTCAGGTTCAGTTCTGTTTAAGGCGTGGTGTAGTCCCTGGTCTGGCCCTGATTCAGACCTGGTTTAGCCCCCTTCTATAGCTAACTTAGTACTGCCTGCCCGATCTGCGTCACATAAAATCATGTCATTTACATCCCTTAGGTTTTAGTCCTGGTTTAGTATCTGGTCAGGCTCTAATTCAGATCTGGTTCAGATCTGGTTTAGCCCCCTCCTGCACCTAGTTTTGCAGTGCCTGCCTTATCTGTGTCACAAAAAATAATAAATACATAAATAAATAAAAATAAAAATAAAATCATGTAATTTCTCTCCCTTGTGATTTAATTCTGTGTAGCCTGGTGTAGTCACTGGTCTGGCTCTGGTCTGGCCCTGGTTCAGACCTGGTTCAGACCTGGTTCAGTCCCCTCCTGTAGCTAACTTTGTAATGCCTGCCTGATCCGTGTCACATACAATCATGTCATTTCTCTCTCTTCTGTTTTAGTTCTGGTTTAGTACCCGTTCTGGCCCTGGTCTGGCCCTAGTTCAGACCTGGTCCAGACCTGGTTCAGACCTGGTTAAGACCTGGTCCACACCTGGTTTTATCCCCCTCCCGCAGCTAGCTTTGCGGTGGCTGCCTGATCCGCGTCACGTAAAATTATGTCATTTCTCTCCCTTGTGTTTTAGTTCTGGTTTAGTCTTGGTTTAGTACCCAGTTTTTAGTACTCTAGTTCAGACCTGGTCCAGACCTGGTCCAGACCGGGCTGAGACCTGGTTTAGCCCCCTCCCGCAGCTAGCTTTGCGGTGGCTGCCTGATTGGCGTCACGTAAAAGCAGGTCGTCTCTGTGCCTTAAAGAATGGACTCGCTCTGGGTTATTAATAAAACGGGTCGTTGTGAAAGTGAGCGCAGCGCACGGCGTGACATTGACACACTTACGGCGCCCTCTGCCTTTTCTCCTTAAAGAAACCAGACCAAAAATAATAAAGGACTTTAGAAAGAGGGATAGAGAGATGGAGGACGAGGAGTTAGCCATGAGAGAGGGAGAGAGACAGAGAGAAACAGCAACAGAGAGAGAGCAAGTGTGTGATGGAGACAGAAAGAAGAGCAGAGAGAGACAGAGGTAGAGAGGAGACACAGAAAAAGGGAAAGAGGTGGAGAGAAAGACAGAGAGAGGGAGAAAGGGGGAGAGACAGAGATAGAGAGAGGGAGAGAGGAAGGAAGGGAGAGGGGTAGAGGGAGAAAGATAGAAGGAGACAGAGGGGGGAGAGACAGAAAGAGAGACGGGAAGAGAGAGAGAGAGACCTCCCTCTCAGAGACAGAGAGTGGAGAAACAGAAAGAGAGTAGGAGACAGTGAGAGAAACAGCAACGGAGAGAGACAGAGAGAGGTGGAGAGAAAGACAGAGAGAACGAGATAGAGGGAGAGACAGAAAAAGGCAGAAAGAGGAAGAGAGAGAAACAGGGACAGAGAGAGAGAGAGAGAGAGAGAGAGAGAGGTGGTAGAGATAAAAGGACTGGATGATAAGACATAAAAATAATCTTTATATTTTTCAAATATTGATCACATTTTTCATTTTGGTTTATCTTGCATTAAAAACCAAAAAAACAAAACAGTTTGAAGTCTCAACAAACCACAGTAATGAACTCAACTAACCTGGGGCTAAACCACAAGTAAACCAGGTCTGAACCAGGTCTGAACCAGGTCTGAACCAGGTCTGAACCAGGTCTGAACCAGGTCTGAACCAGCTCACCAGTCAACTGACCAGATGTTTGTTGGGCTAATCTCAAACAAATAATAATAAGATTCAACATTTCATCAGAAGTTTGGTGATTTCTTTCAAAAACAGTGACTCTCCTGTAGAGTTATACAGGCCCCGCCTCCACCTGAAACTATCATCATCAACCAATCAAAGAGTTCACCTGAACTAGAGACGCCAAATACCAAAACTCAATACTACAACTAATATCAAAACGAACGCATTTTTCGCAGGTATCGAAAAAAGGTTTACTAAAAAAGTCTCATTGACAGGACAGTGCAGAACTTTTTCTGAATGATGTTGAGCTGTATGAGAACAAGTAGAAGAGCACATAAACACATAAACACATACACCCATGGACACTATGAACCTACTGCACCACTGACGATTACACACATATAACACACATGGGAACAGAAAAGAAATGACCATTTAATGTAAATCTGTGTATCATTTGTTCATTTGTTTTTCAAAATAAAACCAAAGAAAGAAAGAAAGAAAACGAAAAAAACAACAACTATTTTCTTCATTATTCGTCTCCAAAACCAAAATAAAAAAAAACAGATAATGATTCTTTTTTTTTTTTTTTTTTCAGTTTTCGATTTTGTTCGGGAGTGAGACCAGGGCTGAGGCCGGGGCCAGACCGGGACCAGACTGGGACTGAAAA